TAAAGCCAATTTAAAGTAGCTTAAAAGTAGCTTTTAAGCTACTTTAAAGCCGCTTTATAGTCGCTTAAAAGCTACTTCAAAGTACCGTGAAAGCCGCTTTCCAGCTACTTATTATTCGCTTAATTAAAAGGTCTATTTCCCGGTGGGGTTGGTCGCCTTACATATGCTCAGTAGCCTTGCCGTAGGTCCAGTAGCTTTAAGTATCTGGTTATGAGAGTCGCACGTGACTCAGTAGCTGAGCCGTAGGTCCAGTAGCTTAGAGTAACCGGTAATGAGTCGTTTCGGAACGTCCCAGCCTTCCGAAAAAAGTTCCAGTTTAAATTATTTTCATGCTGAAAGTTCCAGTTCTCGTTTTAAGGACCGTGTGGTCCTGTCGTGGTCCTCGGAATAGATAATTCTAAAAACTGCAAAAATGTCTTTTTTGTGACGAATGAACAAAATACGACTCGTTGTTCTACCGCGCCTAATATCGGTACGTCGTTTGCATTCTACCGTACGGTACGTAGAATGAAGGAGGGGTCAAATGAAGTACGGTATGTACAAAGTAGTTTCTTTGGACTTCGTGTTCGGAAAGACTTGTAGAGCTCGGCATCTTCCGCATGCGTTATCTCTCTCCTGATCAACACACATGTTGATCGGCATCTTTTTCATCGCGTTGTCTATCCCTCGGTCAACATATTTAGGGACGCAGCCGACTTACTGACTAACAGATCAAATTGTTAATCATGGCAGATGTTGTAAAAAATATTGGCGTGCCAATCGATGATGAGACTCTCAGCGAGATCTCTCGCGGAATGGTGAGAAATAGCTTTGTGACAAATTCGATGTTGGTTATTACTTTTCAGCAATCTAAAATACACAATGTGAATTTTCTTCGCAGATCTTTTCGGAATTAGCAATAACAGACAATAAAGAAGGAACGTTGGCTAAGGTCGGGAAAGCCAATCCATGGCACATCCAGGCGCTTAAGCTCATCACAGGGTCCGAGGAACGAGCTCATCTCCCTCTGGAAGATATTCTCAGAGACGACTTTGGTGGTCTTATTCTAGACTGCGAGCTTGATACGAGTGGCATTACCAAAGGACTGAATTTTGTTGATACACAGGGTAAGATCGGATTGTACTTCTAACTGGTGAAAACATGGGGTTGATCGAGCATGCAAAGAACAAGCAGCAACAAGCTCACATTTCAAATGCATTTTGGATCTCATTTAGGGTACATCGCGCACAATGACGAATTGATTGTTGTTTCTTTTCGTTGTACTACATCCCTCTTTGATTGGTTGACGAATTTGAATAGCACAACATCTGCCTGGGAGGTGGAAGATTACGAGTTAGGATACAGCGGCATTTGTAGTGGATTTTCAGGTCTCTGCTTCCAGGGACCTAACGCCAAACCGCGGGTGCACACAGGAATGTACAATAACTTTCTAGCCATTCTCCCCGAAGTTAAAAAACACGTGGATAAATACCTGAAAAAGGACGAAAAACCTCGGGAACTATACATCGTCGGGCATTCTTTGGGGGCTGGTATTGCGAATCTTATGGCTACCTACTTTTTGTTGGAAGGATACGACTGGAACGTTCTACCCCAGAAACTCATTTCAGTAACCGCAGGAAGCCCTCGTTCCAATGGAAAATCAATGAAAAAAGTGACTGATGAAAAACGATTAGAGTTCGGCAAAAACGTTCGTTTTCATCGCCTCGTAAAAGGAAAAGATGCTGTATCCAAAGTTCCCCCGAGAATCCTGGGTTTTGAACACATCGTGGACCCGATTGTGATTACGGACGATGGAAAGATACTGATGCTGAAAAAAGAAGATGGCTTGAAAACAGATTTGAGTGAGGCTTACAAAGTAACGAGGCAAAAGGATGCACAGTTTAGTGTCGACAAACTAGTCAAGGATGGCGAAGATACCAAAAAGACAACCGAGAAAGAAGGAACTCTGCAACGGGAAACATCTACCGAGAAGAACGATGAAGAGGAATATGCCAAATACCAACGTCTCGTCACCAAAATTCCCAAAGGATTGCGTGACCACATGCCTGATTTTTATTTGAAACCGATCTTCAATGCTCAGGGCATCGAACATGCATCAAAAACGAAACCAACGAAATAGATAGCTCTATCTATTGACAATGTTTTCAAAGATACAACTTATTACGTTATAATTGTTTGAGTCTTTTAATCACAAGATCTGAAAATGATAATCCTCAACTGTTGAAGTATCTTTACATTCGGAAATGATCATACGGGTATAGAAGTTTGCGGTATCTATTTAGTGGAGGATAAAGTATTACACAGTTGTCTAGGAGCGCTCCATATCTAACTTCTGCACTCTCTCGACGTCAGTGAAAAGCACAAAACTTTTGTTGCCCGTATAAATTGTACATGCATTATACAAACGTTGAAATCATTACAGTTTTATATGACATGGATAGACAAAGTTATGCAAATGAACCATTTGCCGCCATGTAAAATTTCGACTAATTGCCAATCATGCTGCAACTATTGGAACACCAAAAAAGTAAATCATTCGATAATAACAGCACTGAAGTTGACCTTTTCATTCATGGATGACAACGTCGCGTCAAGTTGGATTGCCATGTCATTCTCTCTTCCGATTCGAGTGATCTCCCATTCGATGTAGTTCCGAACTAGAGTGTACAGTTCTTGGTAACCGTCTTGTGTGACAGCTTCGATGAGAGCACAAAGCTTACTGGCTTCAGTCTCGTGAAAAACAAATGCATGTTTTAGTTTGTCTTCGTTGCGTGATAGTCGTTCAGTAGCAGAATCCGGTATTGCCTTCCCTTTGGTCTCTGCATCGTTGGCTCGATTCCGGAGGGCTTCCACCTTGCGCTCGTAATGAAGGCGGTCCGAAGCTAGTTTTCCTACTCGTTTGAGTCCTACATCAATGCGATGAGTGACAATTTCCATCCAATTTGTCGCGAAATTGACAACTAGCTTTTGGTATTGAAGGTCGTTAACAACTGCTTCAGCTGCACTGAAGCGATAGAGACCAAGTAAACTGATAAATTTCAATCCATTTCTTTTCCGATAGTCTCCGGCAACTCGCGCCGCCGAAATTGGCAATGATTCGGAATCACTCAATCCATTTTCTCCGTTAATGGTAGATGCTGTTGGGGAAGATATTGATGGAGATGATGGCAGCCGTTGAGATAATTGCTGTAGTCTTTCCATTGCCTCGCCATCCAACTCACAACCAATTTCGTCTTGGATAGGACTTCTTTCCGATAATAGTGTCAATTTCTGGGCAATCTCAAATCGAGCTTCTTGGACCTGCCGAGTGCACTTTTGGTACGTTTTCAGTACACCGATCAATGTACGCAATCGTTTCCTCATTTGTTCATAATCCGCTGTCAGCGGTACGAGATCGGGGCTTCGATTCTTGGAGAAATATTGTGGTGACATGGCAACGATTTCAATTGCAGCATCCATTCGTTCTTCAATTTTATGCATATTGACAGAAGTCGGATGGACTTCGCCGTTGCTGCGACAACCTTTTTCGTGTATCGCATTGATCTTGTCGCGGTCATCAATTTTGTTTTGACTGGCGACACTTCGCAATGAATCGACCCGAATGAAATTCAACGCACTCGACAGCATTGTCTCGATGGAAATGAATTATTTTTAAATACTGTATGGTCTTTTTGTGTTTCCTCACCCTGCCTCGGTTCAAAGTCGAGTTTTCGTTGGGAATGAATTTGAAGACATCTTTCATCCGGCAACACGATTGATTTTGATAGAAGTCCTCGAATGCAATGATTTCCGTTACAGTATTGAAAATTGAAAATAGGAACATGTTTGTTACTTCTACCGTAATTCTGTACTACGAAGATACTCCATTCATCTTTCTAGTTTTTGGCGTCAGCCAGCGACAAAAATCTCGAGTTCGCCGGCCAAGTGGGAATGACGACCTCCCTCCACGATTTAATGAGTCGATCTAGTCAAACATTTCTTTTCAGAGAGAAGGGACCTGGAGGAACTTTCTATCGGTGTGTCATCACTCATCACTCCGTTCATACCATTCTTTCCTGCAAAATACAGCAGATGATAGTGTACACCTGACCGTCGGTAGTCCGAAGAACTTCATCCATCCTACGGTACCTTGTCCGAGTGATGGAAGAAACTGATACAAGTCAAGATCTAACCGATCGAATTTCAACTTGAATTGAATCAATCCACATTCTTAGTGGAAATCTTGAACATGACGCTTCATCACTTGCGTCCATCGTTACTGAGATTTCGTCAAAGCTATCTTCTGCTTCGTCGACCATATCGTTCCATTGGCACATACAACGCAGCGTGGAGAGGAATAAGAATTCCGAGACAAGTGGCGCCGTTCTCTTCCAAAGCTGATTCGAATGATGAGAGCAACGAAGTCGAAGGCAATAGGCGGTCCGCCTCGCTTGCGCTGGCCAGCACTCACGATAATTTGTCTCGGCTACTCGAAATAAGCAGAAGGGAGTGGCCGCTCATTGGGCTGGCGGCGTCGACATTAATGGTGACCTCCTCTGTAACATTGTTGCTTCCCTATGCTTCGGGATCTGTTATCGACTACACAATCGCGAGCGGKGGCGAAGATGGGGCGTCTCCGTTAGTGTTGGCATCTGGGCTTTTCGGTTTGTCGGCCCTAGCCGGTGGAGGGGTGTACTTGCGAGCTGTGTGGTTGGCAAAGGCGGGAAATTCTATAGTTGCAAGGATCAAACAACGGCTGTATGCATCGATGCTTCGACAGGAATCATCTTACTTGGATCAGCAAACAACAGGAGATTTGTTGTCTCGATTGACATCCGATGCCCAGCTTTTGCAGGGTGCGCTCACGACGCAAGCAGTGGCAGGGCTACGAGCTACCGTGATGTCCATCGGTGCCGGAGGAATGCTTCTGTACACTTCTCCATTCCTAGCAATGGTTTCGTGTGCGACGCTACCGCCGGTGTTCATACTGACTCGTCATTTTTCACGACGGCTAAAAAAACGGCAAGAAGAAGTCCAAAAGTTGCTGGGAGAGGCAACATCATTGGCCGAACAAGCTCTCAGCAATCAAACAACTGTCAAGCAATGCGCGGCAGAATCCTTCGAGATTGCTCGCTTTCGGAATAGTGTCGCCGATGCGCATACCATGGCCGTCTCAACGGCACACGATCAAGGCCAGTTAGAAATGAGCGCGCACATTGCAGCGAACGCAGCAATCTTGGGAGTCCTTGGGCTGGGTGGGACAATGGTTCTGGAGGGGAACATCACAGCCGGTGACCTTACAGGATTTGTTATGTACTCATTGCTTTTATCAGGAAATCTCTCTAGCTTGACCAGCATTTATGGTGACATGGTCCGTGCCATGGCAGCCTCAACGCGTGTCTTCGAGCTGATTGACCGCCCATCGAAGATTTATTCTTCGAAAGGTATGGAAGAAGAAAATGCACTGCTATCTCTAAATGAAGATCCACTTGTTTCGATTGAATATTCCGTGATCAAGGATCGCCTTCAAGGCGGGGATGATAACGATACCAACGTTACAGACGTTCGCACGAAGACCGCGGCATATGACAGTTTTGATCCTGCCCTTGGAGGTGCATCAATCGAGATCGAAAATTTGTGTTTCCAATATCCTAGTCGACCCGACGTTCCTGTTCTCAACAATTTGAGTTTGACCGTTCCTTCTGGATCCGTGGTGGCCTTGGTTGGTGCATCCGGCAGTGGAAAATCGACGATCGGAAGCCTGTTGACAAGATTGTACGACACCGACAAAAATGAAAACAATGGTAACTCGTTGTCATCGATTCGAATCAATGGCAGGTCCCTTTGTGACTATGATCCACGAGACCTACGACAGATGATTAGCGTGGTAGCGCAAGATCCGGTATTATTCGGTGGGACGATTCGTGATAATATTAGGTATGGCGTCTGGGACAAGGTTTCGGAAGAAACTATCCTAGAGGCCGCTCGCCAGGCATATGTACTGGACTTTGCAGAAAGCTTTCCTGACGGATTAGATACTCTAGTCGGTCCCCGGGGCATGCAGCTCAGTGGTGGACAACGCCAACGGATAGCTATTGCTCGAATGCTTGCCAACGTGGATGCTTCGATTTATGTCTTAGACGAGGTAAGTGCTGTGTGTGTACGACCGATGAAATGTACGAGCTTCAACTTGGTGCATGGTTTGTATCCTGTCTGGTTGTTTCATTCGAATGCGAGGGGAAGAATCCATTGTGTTTCTGTCCGATTTTTACTAATTAAAATATTTCGAATAACTTTACTATGCAAAAGGCGACCAGTGCCCTTGACGCTCGCAGTGAGCATTTTGTTCAGTCTGCTTTACAAAAAATATTTCAAGATCATAGCGGCAAAACGATCATCTCGATTGCTCATCGCTTGAGTACGATTCGCCATGCAACCACCATCGCTGTGCTGCAGAATGGATCGATTGTCCAAACGGGAACCTTCGAAGACCTTAGTACCAATGAGGGTCCTTTTCGAGAACTGATGAAAACACAACTCGTCGGTGACATAAGCGATAGTACTTAGCGGAGACGCAAAAAATCAGTGCATCCCTGGAGTTAGTAAGTATTGTAATTTCGATTTCATCTTTTGTTGACTACTTTCGTGATGAGTTTTTTCTTCCCAGCACGGACACTCGAACTCCGCCACCCTGTGCCAGTATTTTCTTTTCTGAATCGGATAGTCTAGCTAGCAATAACCGAGAAACGTCGATTCCTTCGACCATGCCATCAAGATTTACTAATCCCACCTCTTTGGCAACGGACAAGAAGCCATCCATCTCTGCGTTGACATTAAATCCATCGTGACCGACGCTGAGGTACAAAAAATAACAACGGTCGTTTTTTACTCTTGTTCCAGTCACAGGATCGATGCTGTCGTTTTCTATTTTCAATACGGTTTCAATAGTTTCGGCGAGTGCTCTCCATGAACCTGGGTTGTAAGTAAGATCTGCACCGATCATGAAAGACGCACGCTCACTGTAGTCCATCGCATCTAAAAATCCCCATTGAAGTGGCTGGGCCTGTATGGTTGGCGAAGGACTTGATGAGGCACTAATATTCGTCGTTGCGCCATCATCGGCATCGGAATTGTTGTAACAGTTTTTTCGTATATTGGCTTCGGCTAGCTGTAAAACCCGAGGGTTTCCATCGGTAGCCAATACACTTTTGGCTCCCAAGCGATGCGCAGCGATACTGCAGAGTCCGGTTCCGCAGCCCAGTTCAATCACGTCTTGGTTCCTCCAAAATATGCTCTCCCCACCATTGCCATCTCCTTGTCGATGGAGTTCGTCTACCATGGTGTCCAGAAGCCGGGTCAGAAGTAGACCAGAGTTCCACACCGTCATGCCGGTGTTGCCACTGCCGCCCGTGTTTTGCTGGACAACGATCGTACTTTCTGCATCCGGACTTTGTTTCTTTGACATACGTTCTCGATACCTAGGCAACGGCACTGCTCGCTCCGGTAGTCCCATGCACACCGAGCTATATGCTCCCGGAACAGCCAGTTCGCCCATCAGCGCACCATTGTCGCATATGATCTCGGAAGTCGTCGTTGCTGTTGTTGTTGCCAATGCAATCGAGGAACACGACCAGAAGCCATCGACAAGAAAAGCTTGTCGATCGACGATTCCGTTGTTATAGGCATCTGCAACACCGTGTAATTGCGGCGACAATCCATGGCAGACGGTGACGCAAAGCGAGGTTAGTAGTGCAGTCAATATCGACAACCGTGCCGATCTACCCGATGCTGGACTAGTCTCCACTGGTCTCGTTCGTTTGCTGCATGCCATGGCGTCTCTATTGGCTTCAAAAGATGTAACCGACGAAAGAAGAAAAGAGGACCAAACTACAGTATTTTATTTTATTCCTTTCAACCGTACGTTCGAGTACTATGGTCCGTACGAACTCGCAGGGGTCTGTCCCTACCGGCCGGTACGGTATCGGTCGGTAAATCATAACGATCGCGCGCAAGTACATAATTGTACGTACATAGCGTGTTCTCTTTTAATCGAACGAGTCGATTTTGCTGAATTCCAGTCGAAACTTTTGTTTCGACTTCCATGGTTCAATGTAATCTACTGCTAGTTGGTCATCTTAAAGCCCTTTGTTGGATGATCCTTCTCGTTCAGCTTGATCGGAATTTTTAAGTTATACAAACTGGAAGAGTTTTTTTTTATGAAAAAAGAATCGGTTTAGAAAAAGTGGTGAAAAGTTCATGTCTCGAATGCAACTGCTTTGTGGGGGAAAGCCAGGGGTATGCTCTCCGCACGTGTCCTACGTATCAGTTGTTCTCGAAACAAAAAAGGCAAGGGGTTTCCCCCGGACTCCCAGAGCAGCAAACTATTGCTTTCGCCAATTGACCGATCATGTTCTTGTTAGTACGTCAGGCAACAGGTCATGTCGGAAATGCAATGCTCGTCGCTGTATCCCGCATTGAGGCAAGCTAGTTTTTGGTGACCAATGGCGAGTATGTTCGCAAATTCTTTTACCTTTCTGCAGGTTCTTTCATTGCGAAGAATGCCCCGGGTGTCTACGACGGCGCAGCCCATGGCATCTTGAGGTGTTTTCCGAAGGTTGGGCAACCAAAGCAAGAAGCACGGGACAGAAAGAAGAAAAAAGGAAATGAGGACCAAGAGAGTATCGGTGCACCGCCCGCCCGAGCAAAATGGACTTGCTCCGAACCATCGTCGCCGAGGATGCAATGGAAAGAGCAATCGCTGTGTTCGAGTCGTGTGCGGACCTACCTCCTATCGTGATTTCGTTGTCCCGAAAGTGGTTTAAAGAGGCCGCCTGGAGAAAGTGTTGGTATTTTGCCAACGACTGTATCATATTGTCGCTTCGCGCATGAATGACACCGGCCATTTTTGCCCTAGAAAACTGTTTCTTGGATTTATACCCTATCTTGTGATGGGTGATGATATCCCTCTGATGATTGCGTGAGTCGAGGTGGGGATTGTCGATGAGGGGAAGATCGCGAAAAACGATGTTGAGACGAAGTTTGCATAGGAATTTGTGCGGTGCGTCAAACAAACAAAAATCGATTTTAGTAAAGGCCACACAGCATGGCAGTTCTCCGCGCTTTCAACGGATCACAAATTGACCCACAAATCAACTACTCACTTCGTAACGGCGCAGATTGGCAAACACCGTCCCTATCGAATACGCATACTGGCTATTCTTCTTCTCTTCTTTCGATTCGTTCGTCCTGTCGAGGAAAAAATTGGCAGTCGGGTGAAAGCGATTCGTGAAGCCGTATTCCGACCACACGACGCCGTTTTTTTCGATGGTTGACACGTATTTTTTGTTGTCTTCCATCAGGCATGTGCACGGTGCGACGTACTTCTCGTGAACGTTTTGGTCGGAGCATCCCTCTGTGCTCAAGAGCTCGTAGGCATAGAGCCTGACCATGTCGGTGTAGCTCGAGTATCGGTGTGGCTTGGATTTTTCGTCGAACCACACGAGCAAGTGATCCAGATCGTTGACACTCACCAGAACGTCGTCGCCGTACTGTTTCTTGATTTTGTCGAGACTCATGCTGATGGTCTTGTCCTGTCTCGGGTAGTGCGCCCCTACGATGGTGTATCCATGGCTTTTTACGATCTCCTTCGTTTCCTCGTGGTCCTTCCACCGGCTCGAAACAATAAAGTTGAGGCATCTCTTGGTCTCGATGTTGGAATAAAACTCGAAAAACGTGCGCGCCACTTTCGAACCTCCCTCGAAATAAAATAGAAAGACGACCGGGCAGTCACTTTTGTTGTTTTTGATACTGCTATCCTCGTAGAACGACGGGTTCTTATCGATGTTTTTCAAAATGTCGAGATAGGGTTTCACCGGGTCTTTGGGACAACCCTTTACCTCTCCTTCTTCCAAGAGTTTTCGAACCGGTGGATGGACCAGCTTTCGGTATAGATCGGGGTCTTCCGAGAGATGGACGTGTTCGTGGAGTCGAAAGACGGCAGAATTGGAATCGATAGGGGCCAGGTTCTGGCTCTTGGTGATGTTGTGCCGGCTCTTAGATCCAGAAAGCAACTCCAGGGGTGGCAAAGAAGGGTCGACGGACGCCACGGACGACAACTGGTTTCCGTAGAAGAGCAGTGCGTGCTGGATTCCGAGATAGTAACCAATGGAAGTGAAAATGCCAGCAAACAATACCTTTAGTGCGGGTCTCATTGTGGTCTCGTTTGGAATGGGTTCGGCTCGGTTCTTTTTCCGGCCCGACTTCATTCTGTAGCTCTTCATTGTGTAGCTTTTTTGACGGTCGTCGTCATTTTTATCAGCTGTCGTGGGGGAGCTGTTGGAGCCATTACAGTAAGTACGAGTACCTTGTATGCTACCGTACGTACGTACCGGTACAGCATTCTGTACGGAGGACCATGAGATAAAATTAGAAATTTTTGACGAAAGTAATTTAAATTACTTCGTATTTAAACCACGAAGCGATGACCTATGACCTATGACCCTGTGGCACACCCCTGTATGGTACGTACGTACACTACATCGGGTGCATACATTACTTTCCTCGTAGCGTATAGCGTATAGCGTAGTCGCTAGTCACTAGGCTAGGGTACAGGTAGCGGTAGTAGGAGCGCTAGCATAGCAGTCACCAACGTCCGTGCGTACTCTAACAAAATTTTAAATTTTACCCCACACATGGAAGATGATATTTTGATGTGGCGCACCCCTCTCAATTAAGACCACTGCGCTTACATAGCTCCACGTACTCGTAACTTCGGAAGTTTCGAAGTTGATGTTTGGCATAGGAAGTACTGTACGTAGCATCACCAGTACTGTACAAGGTACTGTACAAGCCATACCATTCTACTTGTGCGCCAAGAACGCGAAGAAAAAAAAAGATGGTAGTGATTCAATGATTCATTCGTTCTCCTCACAGGAAGAACGCAAATCCCCACAATGTTGCAGTGAAACGAATCACATCTTTGATCCTTCCGATCGAGCAATACCACGAATTATTGTACCGAGAGATCTGTTTCAACAAGAAGAAAAGAGGCCCGGAACCATGGCGCACACCACTCAAATACAGACGCAAGCACGAGCACAAGGACGACGCGGTCGAAGGCGGCGCCGGGGACGCGAGGCAACGGGCACGGCAACGCGATTCCTCGCGGTGCTCGCTGCTCTCGCCCTTGCCCGCGCATCGTGGCATCACTGCGGTTCGAACGAGGCAACCCCCGTTGCGCATGGGAACGAAACGCCGCGGTTCTCGACGGACGCCGGGGGATTTGCCTTTGCCTTTTCGACAAGCCCCATCCACAGAAATCCCGGCGATCCAAAAACCACACCGAGAACGACGGCGACCGGCCCTGCCGAAGGCCTTTCGTGGAACGCCGTCTTTGATGGGCACCGCCGGCGGCATTCCGCACACCGCAAGGCATCGCATCGGAACCGCGTCGGTCCCGTGCACCAAACAGCAAGCGACAACGACGAATCGAGGTCGCCGTCGCCGCCATCCGCCATCAACGGAGCGAAACCAAACCAGAACGACACCGACGACGCAATAGACGGACGGGCGTTGCTCTCTCCGTACCACCTTCTCTACCCGGAAAACTTTCGGAAATTCGATGCCCCTCTCGATCACTCGGAGCCGTTGTTTGGAGCGCTCCGATTGATGAAGCAAAGCCTCGGCGTGTTCTTGGCGAAGGAGAACACCCCGCAGTACTTTCCGTTCTCGAAATCGTCGCGTGCCAACCCCAGGGTGCTCCGAATCGAACAACGAATATCGCACKGCGTAGAACCTCTGTGTTGGTTGCAAGCGCAGATCGACAACTACTACCCGTCCTCCTTTGCCACGGAGCAGCATCCGGCGTTCTACATGGAGACCGCGGAAGAAACGATGGAGGCCGCCGTGTTTGGATCCAGCCGGACGCACCGGGGGCGGCTGGAGGACGATGCCGAGTGGTGGGGAGATCTCCCCGAGCGCGCCCGGGTGTACGGTGGATCGCGGTTCGATCCCGACAGCGAGCCCTCCGACGAATGGAAATCCTTTTCGCGCGGCTTCTGGCTGTTGCCCGCAGTGGAGGTGCGGCGAGAAAGGGTCTCCGGCGATCCCGATCGCCCGCCGTCGTTTGCCACCACGTTGGCCGTTCACCTCGTGGCGGACCAAGAGCACGGTTTCGCAGTGTCGGCCCGTCACGTATTGTCGATCCTGGAGGGTTTGAACGAGGCCAGTACGCCCGCGGTGCCACCCACCACTATCCCACCCATATTGTCGCGGTCGTCTACGTATCACCGTCGTCAACGAAAACGGCGAAAGACTTCCCCACCAAACGTGCTCAACGAAGGAGGAGCGGGCCCAACGAAATCGGCGACATCCTCCTCCCTGGACGCCCAGGAAGTTTACGAGCGCGGGGTCGCTTCGGCTCTGCAGGAATTCTCACGGACAAACCACCAACACAACGGAACCAACGTAGCTGCCAGTCCCACGGCGACCAGCACGAACTCGACGGCTGATGGGAATTCTGACACCGCGCTGCTAGAAAAGGTTGTTTTGGCGAGACGCCTTGATTTGCAGTTTGATCCGGCGGTAGAGAACAACGTACAAGCCTTGGATATTCTGCGAAAATGGAAATACGCTAATCGTCCGGGCGGTCATCTCATGTATCTCTGTCCCGACATTAATGGCGACTACGAGTTTTTTGGATGCACGCCAGAACGCTTGTTTCAGGTCGTTTCGTCTCGTGCGCCGCTGGAAGGGGAAGCCAAGGGCAATGCGACGACGATGGTTGTTTCGGAAGCCCTAGCGGGAACCCGAACGAGAGGATCTACACCCCAGGCAGACCAAGAGCTTGCCCGCCAACTCTTTGCTTCGGCGAAGGATCAATCCGAAAATGAAATCACCGGACGATTCATCGTGCAAGCCTTCAACGAGTTGAGCGAGCGGGGATGGCTCCGTCGCGAGACGACAATAAATAGCAAAGCCACCAGTAGTATCGGAGACGAGACAAAAGAAGACACGCTGCAAGAGAAGGATCTGAAGGACAAACCCACACTCGATAGCAATGGGTCCATTAGAGGAAGGTATTTTGTGCGACGGTTGAGGCATCTCCAGCATTTGTGCCAACGATTCCAGTCTGAGTTGTCTTCCCCGGCGGTAGCGAGAGACGTGATTGAATATCTTTTGGCAGCTCTCCATCCAACACCAGCAGTTGGGGGGTACCCGAAGGAGCCTGCAATGAAATTCATTCGCGAATACGAAAGCGATGGTTTTGATCGTGGGTTATATGCCGGGCCGTTTGGGTTCGTTGGACGCGGAGAAGCCGAAATTGTGGTAGCGATTCGCTCCGGTCTTGTCGCTCGCGGCAAGGAATCACGAAATCAATTCGAATCCTCTTCGTCTATTTTGGATCATAGACCCGTTAGATCTAAAGTTTCCGTTTATGCCGGTGCCGGTATTGTTCCTGGATCCACAGTACAGGGCGAATGGTCCGAGACATCGTACAAGTTAGGCGTGGTATCCTCGATATTTCCACAGTCTCCATTTACGCTTCAAAGCGCACCAACGCCCAACTCTGCTTGGGCAACCGCTTTTGTGGAAGAGTTGGTTCGAAACGGAGTTACGCAGTTTTACATATGTCCTGGGTCGCGATCAACACCACTAGTAGCTGCAATTGCAAGGACGGTGAGGTCAAACCTCGGTGTTGTTAATGCCTTGAGTGTTCATGATGAACGCGGGGCAGCCTTTAGGGCATTAGGTTATGCTCGCGGTGTAGGACGACCTGCGGCTGTTATCACCTCCAGCGGAACAGCGGTCGCGAACTTGTATCCCGCAATCATTGAAGCTGGGATGGATGCAGTGCCGCTCTTGGTTTTGACTGCAGACCGACCGTACGAAAGTCGAGACACTGGAGCAAATCAAGCCATCGATCAAGTAAAGGTTTATTCACAATCATACGTTAGATGGTTTCGAGATATCCTGCCTCCTCACGATGATGTTCCTATTTCGGTCGCCTTAGCAGATGCTGCGCACGGTGTTCGTTTGTCTCGTCGTTGCATGGGACCGGTCCACTTGAATATTCAATTTCGAGAAAATCTGGCTCCTGATGCGGGACCAATCCGAAATGATGGTCGTATGGGGTCCGTCACAAAATTCGATTCTTTGCGCTTTACCGATTCCCCAGGTTTTTCCAGGTGGTCCTCGGGCGGAGATAATTGGCTTCTCTCCCGTTCCAATATGGGGAATGTTGACCCGAGATCTCTGTTGGAGACTATTCGTCTGATTAGTGAATCCAAGCGAGGAATTATTGTGGTTGGACAAATACGCAAACCTTCTGGGGAAAATCAAGAAAATGATCCTTCTCGGACCATGCAGCTCATTACAAATTTTGCGCAAGCCATCGGTTATCCTGTATTTGCGGGTGTCCAATCAGGAAATCTGAGATTCGAGAGTTCTGCTGTTGTACCTTTTGCAGAACATCTCTTGCGCTTTCCCCTGGTCAAGAAGAACTTGAAACCCGACCTTGTTATCCAGCTCGGAGCTCCATTAATCTCAACTGAAATTCCTAGTATCATTAAACAGACACTGCACGATGGATATTTGAACCATGTTCTTGTGCATCCCCACCATCCAACAGAAAGGCACGATCCAGAATTTACCATGTCTCACGTTTTCGATTCTGACATTGACTCGTTCCTTATTGAGACGATGAAAGTACTAGACATTAAAGGTGGAATTTCCCTTGGTAGCCAACTGGCTCCAATGGTAAAGCTAGGCCGTTTGCTTCGGGAAGAAATGCCATCAATTGTAAAAGAAGCTGGTACAAAGATAAGGGAAGAGGATTCGGACTTTCATGGAATGACTGAACCTGAGGTTGTAATGAGCTTATCCAAGCTTTTCACAAGCGGAAGTATTCCTTATTCTTCATTCTTCTTATCCAACTCTATGCCCGTTCGAGATTCCGAAGCCTTTCTTTATCCCACATGTGGTAACTGCAAATCCAGTGTAGCAGATATAGCGGTCAATAGAGGCGCTAGCGGTATTGATGGGATCATAGCTTCCGCTGCCGGGTTTGCTGACTCTACCGGTCGACCAACATCGTTGATGATTGGCGATGTTGCAGCATTGCACGACATTAATTCACTGCATGCTCTTCAAACTGACCCAAGTGCGAAGGACAACCAATCAAACAAAGTCCATCCCCTCACTACTATCATACTAAACAACAACGGCGGAGGTATTTTTTCTTTTTTACCGATTGCAAAACATGGGAGTGATGTTGCCTTCGAAGAGTTTTTTGGGACACCAACAAATACCTTTTCGTTTGAGAAAGGTGCTCAGGCATTTGATCTTCCTTATACCAACGTTAACTCATCGGAATCTTTTGAGAACGCTTATAAAATGTCAGCCAAGAGTGAAGAGTCTTCGATAATTGAAGTTGAAGTTGCAACACGCGAGAAAAACGTTGTGGTTCACAGAGAAATAACTACTCTCACAAAAAAATTTCTTTCAGGCATCATCAGTACAGATACTCCAAAAGTCGATGAACTGGAATTATTACCTCTGAAGCATACTAGAAGTGGTGACTCGGATGGCTGTCTTCCCACGGGTCTGGGAAAGAAAACGATAGTGTTGTTGCACGGATGGATGGGCGACAACACAGAATGGGATGACGTCGAATCAAATTTGGTGGAGTCTTTACCAGAGGAATGGTCAATCATCAGCGTAGACCTACCAGGTCATGGAAAGTCGAAGCTTTGGACTTCTTCTGACTACTTGTCAATTCAAGAAGCACTGGGTTTGACCGGGAAAAATGATAGAACTTCAAGAGGAGGTCTAGGCCTAGATGAAATGGCTCTTGCAGTTTGTCGAACATTGAAATCTTACGGAGTAGAAAAGATCGACAGTTTGGCTGGCTACAGCCTTGGTGGAAGAGTAGCCTTAGCAATGAAACGCTTGGCCATGACCCCATCCGATAGAAATTATGCTGATACAGCTAACATTGTGAATGAAGAAACAAAAATGATTTTAATCTCAACGTATCCTGGCGAAATTGTGGGTACACGGAGTGATTCACCATATGATCTCGATGACGAAAATATTGCTCGACTTCTGAAAGATGATCGATTGGCCCAAAAAATTGAATTTCTGTCACGTCGCGGGTCTCTTTCTCCCTCTTCTCCTGACGTTGCTCCCCAAATATGGTCTGAATTTTTGAATCGTTGGTATGCTGCACCACTTTGGGGGCAATTGAGAACGCATGAAGCATACACCGATATGGTCAGCAGACGAACATCAACAATGTCTAAGAGGGGCGATGACATCGCATCAGTATTGCGGTCATGTTCTCCGCCAAGATGTAGTAACGAGGATTGGCGAGGAGTGACCGCGAAGAACACACTATTTATTGCCGGAGAACTTGATAAGAAGTATTGCAACATTGGAAGACAGTGGTTTGATATCGAACCATCCTTAAGCTATGTCGAAGTATACAGAAAAGGGCATGCTCTTCTTGTTGAAGCTGCCAAGGACGTAGCCATTGCTATAGACCAGTTTTCTCTACAAGAGCAAGACGAAGCTTCTCCTCTCGGTAGAAACGACACAAAGATATGGGAAGCAAACTTTATTCCAAGTGTAAAGAAAACGGAACTCGCATCAAAGTCTGAACAGATCGATCCACCGTCCATCTGTTCGATTGGATCATTGGACTTTGAATCTTTCAACATCAATCTTATGAATGAAAGAGCAGAGAAACCGGGTATTTCGGGAATAGGTTGGGGTTTAGGAGCCGATTCGAAGAATGAAGGTTTAAAAAAGCGCTTGGGCTTTGTTATCCAAGTCGCATCAAAAAATGGTTTACAGGTTGGCATCGGCGAAGTGAGTCCATTGGACAATCTTCACACGGAGTCCTTTGAAGATGCAGGCAACCAGCTCGAAACCATTGCAAATAAGCTCTCGAATATTCAGTCTGAATCAATTCCTTCTTTTGATGTCGAACGAATTCTTGCTGTTGATGGTGCTCTTGGAGACTACATAGAGTCGTTGTGCTCTGTCTTGTCCATGGACGATTTATTTTCTTCTGTTCGGTCTGGTTTGGAGATGGCAATCCTGTCACTTGCTTCGTCCAAAGTTCGAAGTCCAATCCACCAAGCTTTAGTTTCAAATGCACCAAACTCTCGATATGTGTCGTCGCACATTTCTACTCTTCCATTAAATGGTCTAATTACGCGTGACCAACCTACATCTACAGGTACCAAAGATCAGAAAACTCGGTATTCTTCTTGGAAGATAAAGGTTGGGCACCAGTCGCTCGCGACAGACATCCAGGTCTTCAGAAACACCCTTCTCGACTTAAATGGGGACGATGGACGCATCCGTGCCGATGCCAATAGAGGATTCAATCAATCGTCATTTTTCGATTTCGCAAGCGCCCTGAATAGTCTCGAAATCGCACCATCCGGTGGGCAACTCGAATACATCGAAGAACCGCTGGAAAAACAGATTGAAGAGGGTAGAGATTGGGTCCTAGAAAACCAAGTCGCGGCATTGGAACGTTCCTTCGATGAATATTCTATTCCTTATGCACTGGATGAAAGCATTTACGATTTGTTGCTGGTTCACAGGAACAACTTTTCGGCAATGAAGGAAGATCTTCTGAATGTTTTCCGGGAGGGAACGAGAGGTTGTGCAGCAATCATTTTGAAACCCTCGCTCCTTGGCCTAGAAATGTCCCTTCGCCTGGCTCGCTTTGTTCGAGCGGAACTCGGTATGGGTGCCGTCTTTACGTCGTCGTTTGATTCTGGCATAGGTCTTGCCTACGCTTCGTTTCTTGCGACTGTTTCGGATGCCTCGCCGTCCAAGACTGACACGCACCAATACCCACATGGCCTGAGCACGTTCGAAGTAACGGCCAGCGACATAATTTCCCCGTCCTTTGGATCCTATGTCAGTCAAAAKGGCGTGCTGAACGTCGCCTCCCTCTCTCGTGCATTCTTTGGCCTCGGTTTGGACGAAATCCAGTCCGTTTCCCCGACACCTCTTGCTCGCGATCTGCCTCTTGTGGAAAAACCGATAAGCACCACAACCATTCCGGCGGAAGCCTCCGAACCGGTGGCATTGTCGAGCAGCGTGGATCCCGCTTCGGAATTCATGGCGGACGAGTTCGAGGCTTCTACTTCTGCCAGCAGCACCGGTCGCGACATTGTTCTGGTGGCGTCTCTCCCCCTTCCCTTCAGCGCCGAGGTCGCCTGCGCCCGATTTACCGATCTGCCCCAGCAGCCCCGCTGGTCTCCGTGGCTGGCATCGGTTGCCTACATGGACAACAGAGAGGAAACCGAGTGGACGCTCAAGGTGCGCGGGGTCAGTTTCCGGTGGCGTGCCAAGTCGGAACTGGTCAGCACCCCGTACAGCGGCATTCGCTGGGAATCCACCAGCGGCCTGAAGAACAAGGGCGTGGTTCAGTTTATTCCAACGCGGGGCGATCGAACCGCTAGCGGTTCGTGCTCCATCAACGTGCAGATGGCCTTTGTCGTGCCCCGCCTCCTGTCGAGTCTCTTTCGCGGCACCATCGTCGAGGACTTTTTGCGCAACAAGATCATGAAGTGGTCTCTAGAAATGTTTCGCGACGTGGTGAAGGGAGACCTGGCGCTCGAAGAAGGAAACCTAGAGCTCGGGGATGCTTTGTTTGGAGCCGTAGAAGGGAAGGCTAGTGCCATCGAAGCAACCCTTGCTTCGTCTAGCTTGCCGTCTTCGAGTAATGACCAAGAGCAGTAGGACGCGCTCGATAAAGGACTGCGTCGGCCTCGAAGGAACAGATGTAAACACCTTCTCCTCGTTTTCTCCACTTTAGGTAGGAATAGCAAGGTTGTGGTAAGAAATTTGTACGACACCAGTAAAGCTTCTTCTTGCATCAGTCGTAATTCAATTGATAGAAATCAAAATATAGCAATACCCCGTAGAAACTTAAAATTTCTCAGTTGAATTAGGACCTCTGTGCAGCAAAGAACCATACTTCTAGTAGTACATGCCAACAACAAGTACTTGTGTTCTTGTCGAATTTGGGGCCCTGCTGGTGGTGGACAACAACAAGAGGGAACTCTGGTGCTGGGTGCTGGCCGTGCATCCTTTTCAATTCTTCTTCCTGGTGGAGTACAACTAGCTACTAGTACTACTAGTAGTAGCTACTAGTAGCTACTACTAGTAGTATGTATTGGCCTCCTGCTCCTGGTAGTACTAGTATGCTGCTGTGTGATTGTGCTCAAATAGAGTTTCAGGTGATGTTGAACAATTTGGCGAGAGCGAATGGATGATGACACATGCATGGGATTTTGGTTCCTACTACTAGTACTAGTAATACTCAGCTGATCTTTTATGTACTACTGTACTAATAGTACTAGTAGTAGTAGTACCCCGTACTTGACTACTGTACTGTATCATGTGAACGTTTGTTAACGCAATGCACAGTGCGTAGATAACTGCTACTAGTACTACTTACCAATTTCTACGGTATCTTAGCTCGTGGTTTTTTCTTTTCTCCGAAAGGCTCCCTTGCGAATGCATGGGACTAACTTAGTTTTTCTTCGAAGCGATCGATCGATGCGAAAAGAAAACCGCCGAATGCAAAAAAGACGAGAGTTCCAGTACGATACCGTACGGTAGACGCACCAGTCTCACAGCACGTACCGTAGCAATCGATCTTGCGACACGAAACACGGTTTGCAATTTGCAATTTGCAATAGCGGGTGCCATCACACTTGTTTACAGCAATTCTGAAACCTGCTTCGGATCATTGATTGAATGTGTGTGTTGCTATCACTGCCTCTGCCCAGACTTCGACTACCACTCCTTATTTTCTTTGCATTCATCGCAGGCTGTTCCTGTACTCCGTCGCCGATCACAACGTCCACCGCACTGCAAACCGGCAGCACCACCAGCATGTCCATCCAGCACACCACCCGTCCCATAACCACAGGCACCAGCGTGGTCGGCATCGTATACGATGGCGGCGTCCTGCTGGCCGCCGACACGCTGCTCTCCTACGGGAGCATGGCGAAGTCCTTCGACACCCCCCGCCTGCACAGCATCGAAGACCGCATCCTGCTGGGAGCCTCCGGAGAATACTCGGACCTGCAGGAGATCGTGACCAAGGTAAAGGCCCTGGCTCTGGAGGAATCCACGACGCTGTCGATGGAAAGCATCTACGTCGACCGCAAGCTCTCGGCGAGGTCCCTCTGGAATTACCTGCGGGCCGTCATGTACCAGAAGCGGTCGCGAATGAATCCCTTCTGGAACGACGTCGTGGTAGCGGGCTTCGACGAGCAAACCTCGAAACCGTTTTTGGGAACCGTAGACCGGCTGGGAACAACCCTCCAGGAAAACCTGGTGGCGACCGGGTTTGGGGCCTACCTGGCCATGCCGTTGCTGCGGGAAAAGTGGAGGCCCGACCTGAGCGAGGGAGAGGCCCGTGCCCTGCTGGAGGACTGCATGAAGGTCCTCTTCTACAGAGACTGCCGGGCCTCGGCCCGCATCCAGCTCGCCAAGTGCACCAGCGAGGGCTGCATCGTTTCGGAACCCTACGAGCTGGACCACTCCAACGGATGGAACGCTCCCAGCATGGTCCGAGCGTCCGGAGATTTGGACGGAGACGGGGGCTGGTAAACCACTTTTTCGTGCGAGTGAAGCACTGCACGCAACGACGCCCGCGTAACGCGACCTGCAGGACGAATCAATGATACAATAAAGAGTAAAACAAAAATAGAAAAAACAATCGAATGTAATGGAATATAATACAATATTTCGAAGGATGCAAATGCGCATGGTATGCAAAGGATGGAGCAACTAACAAAATTATGACCCGTTTCACGTTTCACAGCATCCAAAGAATAGACAGATGGCGGTTGTCTGTTTCTCTAGGCCCAAACCAGTGCACCATGATGTCGTGAATATAGAAAAAGCGCAAGGCATTATGAAGCCATCCATTTCCCTTTGTTTTTGCTTGGGTACTTTCTGGAACGCTAGCAATGAAAAAAAAAAGTATCAACATTTCTTGTAGTACTAACATGTGAGCATCTTTCTGCATGAACATGAGGACGAGCCTTATGAAGCCTAGTACTAGTAGATGGTCAAGAACAAGACACAATGTTGTCACAGCAACTACCACAATAATGAATGGTTTGGGCTAGGAAGGAGCAACTACTAGTACTGCCTGCTCTAGAGTAAGAAATGACAAAAGACTGAAAGACAGGAGAAATCGGAAGCCTCCAAGCAACGAAGAGTTGAAGTTAATACTGAGTACATGTACTACTTCTTATTGGACATCACGGATGAGGATGAGGATGAGGATGACACTAGTGTTGGTGATGTTGACATTGATGTTGTTGTTTCTCCAAGTAGACTGGTGCAACTGTAAATAGCAACCTAACTGTAACAACTGCTGATACAACCACAACGAGTGGTGATGGCCAAGTGATTGGACCAATGGAACAAGCAGTCTAGGAAGAAAAGAAATAAGAATACTACTAACAAGTTAAACATGGGGGATAGTATGCTCATTAGTTTGTTTGTCTGTTTGCTCATTCAGTTGCTTTTTTTGGTTGCTTCTTTGGTAGCATTGCTGGTTGCATTGCCAGTTGCTTCCCTGTTCCTTGCTTTGCCAGTTGCATTTTTGATTCCTCCTTATTTGGTTACTGGTTCTCACAATTCATCTCCTCATAGTCATTGGAATCAAAGGAAAAGCTTTGATCCATGTAGTAAGGATGTCTCCACTGTGGGAGTGACTGTCCTAAAAGAGATGTAAAGTGTGTGCTA